TTTATTTCCGTTACGTTCCTACAGCTGTACAAATTAATATAAGAAATATATTTTTTATGTCGAAAGTTTCGTGAGATATACTAAATTCTTATTATGTTTTTCGGCTTACTCACTTAATTATTTGACGAGGAACTCGACTAGTTTCAAGCCATGCTAGAGAGTCACCCGTGCTCGCCGTCAGCAGGCCCGTACTTACGGTGGCCGGAGATCGTCTCGCGATCCCCAACGCCCGGAGTGTCTCTCGCGACGGCTGGGACGTGAGGTGGTTAGTTCCCTCACGCGCTCCGCCTCCTCCTTAGCTAGTATGACTGCTTCGCAGAAAACGTGCGACCGCCTGCGCTCAGTAATACTGATGAAATATGAACGCATTTACTGATTATTATTTGTTTTATCTATGGATGTCAACTTTATCTATGCCTGATTTTACTTTGTTATTTTATCTGTAGTCTGGCAATATTCGTTTCGTCATTGTTAAATTATATTTAATATTTCCCTAGGGTTAGTCCAATAAATCTTATGCATCTTACAAGTTTTCATCAAATACTGCTGTAGTCTGCACAGAGCCGCTTTGGAGCTGATTCTCAGCGCAAGCCGTTAAGACAAGTTCGATGATCAATGTTAAACCATTTATTTCAATTAAACCTTAATAAGACACTTTTAAACATCAAAATATAATTGTTGTGGATATCATTGTCAATAGTCAATTGTCTGTCAATGAAGCTAGGTGCAACGAGCACCAAGGTGTAGTTTCCGATGGAGAAAAACTAACAAGAAACTCCATCGTTTCATCGATCTCTCAATAGGCGGCGTGACGAATGCTTCGTCACGTGACGAGTCCTACATCTCGCTAGTGAAGTTTGCGCGTTACTTAACTAGTGTTAAGTAATAGAAATTCCCAAAATAAACTGTTGGGCGGTCGCCCGCTGGACTTTCTAAGACATACTCAGACATGCTCACCTTGCCTGGTTAAAGAACCCTTTGTCAAACTTAGGGAACATTACATTCTGTTCCTTTACTTTTGACCATCAAGCCTTTACTCTATTTAGACGTTGTAGGGTCTTGTTATGGTACGACAGGTGTTCTACCACGACCTCTCAAGATAACCGGCGTAAAGCAACGCTTGCGTAGTGTTTCACCAGATAAGTTCTGAATCATTGGAGTCTCGCTTTGTTCGATTGAGGAATTGAATCTTAGGTTGCATCTCAGTTCATACTTCACAATGGATAGATACAAACGTGACAACTGTTCGTCGACGTAGCGTGTCCCTCTACTTCCCGCTTCGTCTCTTGTCCGTCGATCTATAGAAAAGTCGCGTGTGACGACGTAACGGAGTAATGGAGTATGAAAAAAAAAATAGGGAAAACGATGCTGTGACTACGTAACGCAACATTTACAATTATGGTTGCGGACGCAGGGTCTTATAGCTAGGCCCCATTTGTCAACGTATAAATGGGGCTTCCCTATTAAGACCCTGAGATCCATCGCTGGGTAACATTTGCAACCAACGAATTAATTTGTATTTGATTCTCTAATATTGATGTGGAAATAAGTTGCTTTGTAGCTTGATTACCAAATAAACAATATTTGTCAGGTAGTTGTCGAGTATTGCGTAACAGTCAACAGCGTTGTATGGCACGGAATGCTGTCCATGACTATGAGCCCCTGGAGTGCTTTGAAACTAGTTGGGTTCTTCGTCAAACAGTTACGTGAGTAAACAGAACACTAAATAATTAATTTGATATGTCTCATGAAAGTCATAATACAAATTTTAATTCGATCAAATCGTACTGTTATGTACTATGCCTTATAATTATAAACTGCATTTTAACCCATATCTAACCCGTTGGATGCAAAGTTTGTAAAGTTTTAATAAATGTAATTATTAACAGTACTTGCAGTGTTAATTTCGAAGGGACTCCCGGGGTGCCATCCTAACTGTACACATTCTTAAAATACCGGCAACGCACTAGTGACTGCTCCGGTATCCATGGGCAGCGCTGATTGTTTACCTTGTATACACGTTTGACCGCTAATCTATAAAAAAGGCCGCATATTTTCTCTATAGATACATAAGTACCTATGGTCATGTGCACGAACACGTGCAGTAGGTATTCATCAATGCATTTCTTATCAGTTAAAATCCGGTATAATAAGCTAACGAGGTGGAAGTATCTACTTATAACCAGTAACGAGTTTGCGATCTGTTTGTCCATTTATAAGTAAACAATGGTTGCAAATAATCAATTATTTATTTATTAGAGAGGAGTTTAATTGCTGTCATTATTAATTATTATAATAGTTATGGACACTTGTTTGTCACATGACTGATACATAATAATAACATTAGGAAATTCTTTCACTGGGATTTCCGTGTTTGATTTGGTATTTAGCGGTTGAAATTCGAATTAATTGAATTTTAATTTCAATGATTTTTAATGATTTCTTTTGCCTTGGGTGATGCGGGAGGGAGTGTCAGAATCTAACTGACTTAAACCTACTCTGTTCCTACTCCACCTTCGAGCCGGAGTCCCGGTAGCCCGCCAGGTCATCTATAGCTTAGGGAAATTGATAATTTCTGGAGTTTCAACTCATTGAATTGTATAATGTTCTTGAAATGCTTCTCTTATGTATTGTGATACATACACATTTCACACTCAGAATAATAATTCGTCGACCTAATTGCAGGAATTAAAGTCATGACACATTGCCTGGCAGCCAGTACCCAGGCACGTCTTTAACGGACTAGTCAATCCTATACTCTGATACACATGTATACGCTTATACTTATATACAGGATGTAAATGCTTAAAAGGTGATTTCGAATAATTTTATCTAACGCCTGTTGTAATTGAAATAAACTTTTTTATTTTATTTTAATATTTATTTTTTATGAAACTCTTCCGAAAACCGCCGACAGATGATGATCAAAAACAAGTTTTATTTTCATAAAAGTAAAGAACGAAATGTTTCTTTCATGTAAATAATGTTGTAAAAAAATCACCACGCACTAGTCTTAAACAGATAGTTATTATATTTGTGTGAGTGACCCTGTGAAACTAGATAATGTAACAATACATGGGTCCTGGTACGGGCGCCCAGCACAACAGGCTTTTGTTTCAGCGTCCAATACACCATGGCTCGACTTAGCCCAACTTTTACTGCTCCATTCACAGCCACAATAGTTTAATATTGCTGTAACCCCAAACTGCAAGGATTAGACAACTATTCAATGTATTGTTTCTATTCAGGTATATTTACAAATCTTGAGAATTTTGGTTCACTTTATGACCATAAACTGACGGCGCCAATATGACTCGGTTAAACTTTTTTTTTTAAATGTTACCTATTCATTTATCTCCACTCCGTGGTATTTAATTTACTTACAATTACCAAACAAGGCGTTGTATTTTGAAATGGCAATGATACATTTTTACTCCCTGATATACTATCTCAAATTATGTTTAAGTAGTTTCTGCTCGCGGCTTCGTTCGCGTTTCTGTGGAATAAAAAGTACCCTATATGTTATCTAGACTATAATTTATGACTGTTCTAAAGTTCATACCGATCGCTTCAGCTGTTTTGACGTGATTGAGTACCAAATATAAACACAAACTCCCACACTTACGTATTTATAATATCAGTTTTTTTTAAGGGGGGAAAATCATCGAATGACTGCTCCCGCCTGGGTGAGGCGGGAGGGAGTGTGAGACTCTTACTGACTAAAAACCACCCCGTTCCTTCTCCTGCACGTCGAGCCGGAGCCCCGGTAACCCGTTAGGTTCTCCGTGACATTTATAATATCAGTAAGATTATATATAAGATTTCAGGTTCCTACGACCAATGACTTCAGCTGTGCATTACTCTGCCTACCCCTTTTCGAACTGACAACTTAAGAAATTAAAACATGAGTCTTTATTACTACCTTGGTCCGGCGCCGGCCGGCGGTACAATCCATCAATAATTATTTATTAACTTGTTTGGTTCAAACAGCAATATTAGTAATGACCATGATACTCATTTAGTCAACAAGTTACACATTAACAAAGCCAGCCTTATCATTATTAAACACATCATAATATAATTACATTGTACAGTGGCAATAGGTGTCGTAATGTGCACCTCTGCCTACCCCTTCTGGGATAAAAGGCGTGTGATGACATAACATCTTATGTCATAATATAAGTAAGATTTTTAAGTGACATATACTGATCAGATTGGCGATATATTAAAGAAGGGCCAAATTAAAAGTACCCTTAACCGACGAGCATGCATGTAAAGATTGATGACTGTTGATGAAGCGAAAGAAGTATGTAGGAATCGTAGCAATTGGCGTTTCGTAGTGTCTGCCTACCACCATGGGAGATAAGCGTGAAGTTATGTATGTATGTTTAAATGATACAGACATTTTATATCATTAACAAATAATACATTGTAGTGAAGGTAAGCATATTAGGTTCTTATGAATATCAAAAAAATAACCCCATGTTATGTTATGAGATCTACGTATAAAAACTGAGAAGAATAATATTACGAGCCTCGATTGCCTGAGATTTTCAAACTACAGACGTCCTGGGGCCGGCGCCGGCGCCATCACTTCTTCATTCAAATTGTCATATTTCTTTAATCGATTTTGAATTTTATTACAATACCCTAAGGTCGAAAATCTATGACAGAAATTAAGAGTTTAAATGATGTAGCTTAGTTTACAAGTGTCTGTACATGCACGTATGTACTACTACATTATAATTTACGTTTAGTTCGTACCTGTAAGTATTAAACGGCCTTTTATGTTTTAAATTCAAATCATAAGTTCTTTATATAATAAACATTGAAAAAATCAACTGTACCAATTTACTGAAACATACAACAAATTTATCTCAAAAAGATAATTCACAAGTTCGATGTGAATGAACTAAGCCCGGCGCTTGCGCACAACCACCTTCTCCCATATGTTTATAATTTTCATGTTACCCACATATGATAGACTCAGGTGTTGCCTCCTGATATACCCACTGTTAGACCGAATAGACCCGCCGTCTATGTAACACAAGTAGACTATGAAAATATTTTGAATCGTTTCTCAAAGTTTAGACAAACCTATTTACGTAGGGAATGAAATATTTCGCGTAACATTTTGACATTCGTTATTTTTGTTCATAAAGCATAACAAACAGTTATCAAGAAACGTATTTATTTTACTAAGACAGTGCGATCTGCCATTATTTCGCTAAACCCTTCTATTGTGTTACTATTGTACCTGCAAGTGGGCGGAGTTTGCACCCAAATTACACTGCTGCGTCTGCGCATAAAAGGTCGAAAATTCGTGATTTCGTCGTAGTGCCACAGTGAGCTTCCTTGCAATCTGTGGAGCACGAAGAGCGCTGCTTGCCTTCTGTTCGAGCCGTGTCCATCGTCCATCACATAAACTTCTCATTTCAACTTCCATCAAATTTAAAAATTCAAAGGACCTTTTGAACAAGAAATTTGATTTGTTACTGTGACGTGGTGTTTTATAAGCTAATATTTAGCTAAACATTGCAGTGTACCATACTATGTTCGCATTCCTTGTGCGCTACCATCTAGCTGCTGCATTGGAACTGGTAAGTTTATTATTTATTTGTTTACTAGCTTTTACCCGCGGCTTCGCTCGCGTCACAAAAGGATAAAAAGTAGCCTATGAGACATATATCAATACATACAGAGCCATCTATACCAATACTTTGGTTTTCCCTCGGGAATATCAAATTTTTCCGGGATAAAAGTACCTTATTATTTAAACTGTCAAACACCAAGCGGTCACCGGTGACCGCGACCTATTGTTCTTTAATTGTGTCTATTAATCCAGATTTCTAACTTTACGTCTGCAAATTCTAAGCAATCGGTTAAGTAGTTACGGCGTGAATGCGGAACAAACAAACAAACTCACTTTCAAATTTATAATATTATAGTAAGGATTTTTACGATCGAGTAAACAGATCTCCTGGTGGTAAGCAATTGCCTTCAAACATGGACATCCGCAACACTAGGGGTGCTACAAGTGCGTCACTGGCCTTTATGGTGTGACCCTCGACCCTCGACCGTGCACAATTCTTCCTTCAGATGTTGACAGAGTAAACCTGCTCGGTTCTTTTACTTTGAATAACTTCTTTCAACTGTTTATTATTGAAATATTGACGTGTAATAATAATTTTATAGCCTGTTTACTGATAAGAATATTATTAAATCATTTATCAACCATTTATCTAATTATATAGATATCTATCCAATTTCTATGTTAAATTTTCTACTTAGCGCATCTAGTCGCAAGCGCGATTGTTGAGCGAAGTGTCTCGAGTTCGATTCCTGGGTTAATGAAGTCTATTACCACACATCGAGTTTGATATAAATATGTTTCTATTAAATAAAATAAAAACCCCAATTACTTTGCTTGACTTGAGAATCGATACCGAGACATTTTTCCTTAAAATTGGCCTTCCTGTACGCTATACGTACATACTTACCTACATAGTCGATTTCCAGCAAACGCTTGATTACTATGTAATATTTTGTTTACAGTGTTTTAATATTGAAGAAAAACAAAAAGAGCTCATAAACATGATGGACAATGCGGAACAGAGGGAAGAAGATAACTGGGAAGATTCGTGGGAGCCGAGCGGCCCCTTTCCGGTGCCGCGTCCCACCCTCAATTGTAGTACGCCTTCATTCGAGAGGGCGGTAACAGCATCAGCATTTAGAGCGGACGAAATAAGTGTCATCAACACGGATGACGAAACCTATCACAATATTAGAGACTTAGTATCCATATCCAGTGATGAGACCACAGCAACGGACGACTATGTCCCTGACGATTTATCGTTCTTTGGGGAATATTACATGGGGGTTCCTTATAACGCTACTTTAGATAGCGTTTCATCAATTGAAGAAATGGATTTCTCAGATTTTGTAGTCGTTCCGAATGACGATGCTGACGTATCCGGTGAGATTGCACTGGATTACGTCGCTCCTGCTCAAGTATCTGTCTCCGAAATACGTGAGACTCCGGATTACGTAGTGGTTCATGATGAGGTTGCACCAGAGAGCGACGCTCCTGTTGATGCATCCGTCTCCGAAACATGTGAATCACCAGACTATGTGGTGGTTGATGAGGCATCGGTGTTTGATAGAACAGGATCCCCAGGTGTGACAGTAGTTCCTGATCAAGTAGCACCTCACAATGACTCGTCTGTTGGCGCGACGACGTCTGATAACGTATCGTCTTTTGAGAAAATAGAAAGTTCAGATGTAAGTGTGGTCAGTAATGAGAAAAAATTCTCATTTAAAGAAGAAGCAGATAATGTATTTAAAAAAGATGAGTCCTCATTTAAAGAGGAAGAAGAAAATTTAGTTGAAGAGTACGGGTCGTCATTTAAAGAAGAAGTGTCTTCCTTTAAAGAAGAGAAATCGACAATCGAAGAAGACGAATCATCATTCGAAGACCAAACATCATTCGAAGACGAGTCATCGTTCGAAGACGAGTCGTCGTTCGAAGATGAGTCATCGTTCGACGAATCATTCGAAGAATATAAATCGTCATTTGAAAGAATGAGATTTATCTCTTGTTCTTTTCCCCCTGTGGCACCACCAGCACACACCTTGCCAATGCCGAAGTGGGTTACACAAAAATCTAAATCAGAGGAACGTCCACAACCGGTGGATGAAGATATATACAGAAACCCACAGCCAGGACCCAGCCATGCCCCTGATTTTAATAATGCAGCAAATGGGTCTGCGTCATCCGCTGAAACAGACCAACACCGTACACCTGTTGTGCCTAATGAACCACTCAGAAATTGGATTCGGGCCTCCATGCCAGAGATAGCAATGCCAGCAAATCATATTTGGTTCCCAATGCCGCCGGAATCTCCTACAGCTCCAGTAGACTTTAGAAACTCCGTGTGGTCCACGGACCGCTTACATGCGACGCTAGCACGCGAGCAATTACTTAACCACATACCTCAGCCAGACGAAGACCGAGTTGCCTTGTTCTTCCGCCACTTCGAGCTCGGAACCGTACCACCCCCCTCAAAGTGGTGAGTAACATGATGAATTACAATTCCACCGAGTAGTGTACAACTACTGGTATATATGTGTGTGATCATGCGAGTTTAGTTTAAGATAGGTCAGTTTACGCTACGTATGTGGTGTGTTCTCTAAAACACATTTTTAATTTCAATTTCTATTTTAACTACAACCTTCAAGCTTTAATATTTATTTATACACATTTTATAATTCTTTTCATTCTTACTTCAATAATTGACAGTGCAGTTATTTTTTAAAGTATTATTGAATACAGTATTATTTACATTTAATTTGACGAAACTATCAGGGCAGTCAAACAATTTGATAGTCGACCATTTTATTATTGCAATAATTTTCTATACATGGTATAGAATGACAATTTTTCAATTAGGTACTGACAAAAGGAGAATACCGTTACGTTAGTATTAATATGATTTAGACTATGGTGATAATCTTAGTCATTTTTTGCAATAATATAATTTGAAAATACAAAAAAAAAATAAAAAAAAATAAAAGAGATACTGTTTTAGCTATCAGTAAAAAAAAAAAATAAAAAAAGAAAAACAAAAAAAAATTCGCAGAATTTTGTCATTCTCGGCATTTGTTTTTAAAAAAATAATGACAGGTTTCATAGTTAAAGGCAAGACATTGTCCAATTGACATACTTATTATGTATACCCACTGATTCCCGAATACTGAAACGCCACTTAATTTTAAGTTGCGCTTAAGTATAGTTCTGTCACTACAAATTCTTTGTAAAAAGACAGAGATGGCACGATATTTAAGTACAACTTAAAATTTAGTAGCCTTTCAGTATTCGGGGTGAATGCATCTGCTGACTCTCATTTAGGTGTTACAAAAGTAATAGGAAGCCGTACAGAATGATTTTTATCTTTTTGACTCAATTTTAATGATAATTCAATAATTGTCATTTGATTTTTTAGTTGACATGCACTTGAAATTACAAATTAATGATGTAATGAATTTGAAAATTAAAACATGAGTAATTTTTTTTAAACGTTTTATGTGTGTGACAATTGATTTATTATTTTAATATCAAGCGTCTGTCAACTTAGTTAATAGAAAAACCTTAGTTTGTAGTAATGTTACTTGATTATTATTTGAGTTTTGATTTTTTATTTGCATGATCCGTATACAGGGTTATGTGTAAAATTTATATTAAACAAACCATTGTCATTATTTTCCACAGCATATTCACGTGAGTTTGTATATCCCACGAAAGTTTTAATATAAATATATTCACGTAACTTGACGAGGTCACTTGACGAGTTTCAAGCCTCGCTCGGGGCTCACAGTCATTAGTAGCAAATGACGAGAACGATCAATAAACTGGTCATGTTATCTCGTCAATCAGCTACGTGAGTGAATCGTTAATTATATGTCTTATAATATTATTAATTAATATGTCTATTATATGTTTAATATGTCTTGTAAAAAAATCATCATTTGAATTAGAATTTTCCAAAAGTTTATCAAAAAAATTTTTATTATATTTAATTAAATTATTTTTAACAATCGTTTATGAATAATTGTTGATTATGTCAATTTTAATGTAAAGATAACGCTTTTTGAAATGAAAAGTAAAATTTAATAATGTGATAATTTGAGATATTGTGTGTGTATTTATCATAATGTATTTTTGTTTTACAAATTGTTGTTCTGTGTATTGAATGAATAGTGGAAGTATTTGTGTTTGTACTTACATTATGAGTACTGCAAGTCGATTACAGATGTAGTTATATGGATATAAATATTTTAACACCTCTACAGACATATATTACTTCTACTTATTCTAGAATTGTAAACTTTGCAAATAGCCGTGTGTATTTTTTTTAATAAAATAATTAAGTAACAACCCAACCTCCTTGTTTTTTTATTATTTTCTTCTATGTTTTTGTTTGCCTCTGTTTGATTGGTTTAAAACAGTGTTAACATAGTGAATAACTAAATAAATGGTAGTAAGCACTGTTCTGTTTCGGGTTTGATTCCCGAGTCGAGAAAACTAGATTTTATGTTTATTAGTCTAATACATAACATAACATAACATCACGCCTTTTTATCCCCGAAGGGGTAGGCATAGGTGCACATTATACAACTGTAGAATGGAACTCCCACTTTTCACTATTTATGTTATGAGTCCCATGTAATAGGGGGTGAGCCTATTGCCATATACCGGGCACAATTCCAGACTCCGTGCTACTACTGAGAATATTTAAAAACCCAGTAATACTTTGCCCGACTCGGGAATCGAAGCCGAGACCCCTTGCCCGGCAGTCGCACTTACGACCATTCGGCCAACGAGGCAGTCTAATACAATAAAGATCAAGATGGTTCCTGGTGTCCTTACACTGTAACTAGCAAAAGTAGGTGTCACATAATGCGGCTGCTCTGCCTACCCTCTCAGCAAATAAAAGAAGTAATGTTATGTTACTATTATTCATTACAAACCAATGTTATCCAGCAAGACAGGACATACACTGAAAACTGATCAATCCAAGTCTATAAATATAATAATAATCGTAGAAAAGTCAAAACTGTACCTTAAATATTCTTTAAAGAATACTTAGAACAGTCTTAATCACTAAAACCTCACGAGACGGGCACTGTACGGGTTAAATGCATTAAAAAATCATTTCTAGGTAACCTAGGTACTGAATCAATTCTGATGACATTTGTTACCATACAATATCCCTTGGTATAGACTAATTCAAAAGCCCTAATTCTGCCAGAAGTCATTATTCTACGTGGACGAAGTCGCGGGCAACAGCTAGTCTTTAATAATAGAAATATACTCGTAAACATAATGATAAAGAAACAATCACTGCGTACGACATCTCAACGACACATAATGTTGAGATTAAATGAATTCTGTGAGAGAAAGGAAGAAAGAGGAGATGGTACGTTTAAGATGCGCCAAAACCTTCGGGTACTATAACTACAAGGTGGAATTTTGTAATGCCACCTAAAGGACAAGTATTCTTAATACAAGATAGAAAATTTTCGATCGAAAGAGTGATGGATGTAACTGAGCGTAAAATCTGGGATGTGTAAGCGGGATTTCGAAAGGGAATGGGGTGTACGGATCAAGTCTTTTCGTTACGGTGCATTTCAGAGAAAGTGTTATCAAAGCACCAAAAGGTATTTTGTGCCTTTATAGACCTAGAAAAGGCTTATGACAGAGTGGTGAGGGATGAATTGTGGTCAACTCTGTCCATGTATGGGGTGGATAGCCACCTGATTCGGGCACTTAGATCCTTATATAAGGACTCGAGTGCCTGTGTCAGAATAAATGGGGACTACACGGAGTGGTTTGACATTAATCGCGGTGTTAGGCAAGGCTGTGTAGCATCTCCTTGGCTGTTCAACCTATTTATGGACAGTTGTTTGAACGACCTGAAAGTAGGAGAGCCTGGATTAAGGATGAATGACACAGTGATTAAAACATTGTTGTATGCCGACGACCAGGTGCTTGTTGCCTCGTCGGCCCAAGAATTACAACAAATGGTCACTGCTATGAGTGATGCATTTGAAAGGAAAGGTATGAAAATAAATGTGAACAAGACGAAAGTGTTGGTGATAGAAAGAAATGAGGTGATAACAGAATGTCAGGTAATGATAGGTGATGAAAAATTGGAACAAGTGAATGAATTTGTGTATCTGGGATCACTATTTACGAGAGATGGAAAGTGTGACGGGGATATTGAAAGGAGAGTGAAAGCGGGAAATAGTGTTAATGGTGCTTTACACTCTGTAATGTCGAATAAAATAATATCCAGCAAAGCTCGACTTGCTGTAATGCAGTGTGTATTGACACCAACGCTTATGTATGGTAGTGAATCATGGGTGTGGCAGAAGAAGCATGAAAGCAGGATTAATGCGGTGGAAATGAGAGCCCTGAGAAGTATGTGTGGACTAAAATTGAGTGATCGAGTGAAAAATAGTGTTATTAGAGAGAGGTGTGGATTGAAAGACGATGTAGTGACAAGGATTGAAAAGGGAATGTTACGCTGGTTTGGACATGTAGAAAGGATGGATGAAAGTAGAGTAACGAAAGAAGTATACAGAGCGGATATGAATGGAGCCGTCGGTAGAGGGCGCCCTAGACGGACATATAGTGACCAGATTGGCGATATACTAAAGAAGGGCCAAATTAAAAGTACCCTTAACCGACGAGCATGCATGAAAAGATTGATGACTGTTAATGAAGCGAAAGAGGTATGTAAGAATCGTAGTAATTGGCGTTCCTTAGTCTCTGCCTACCCCCATGGGAGACAGGCGTGAAGTTATGTATGTATGTATGTATGTATGTAGAAAATTTTAGTTAAAGAAAACATTCCGTTATTTTTGAAAAGAAATAAAACTGCATTCAATGATTTTTAAAAATTAGCTTGTCTCACACGGAATCGAACTGACTAAAATCTGTCAAAGTTTACACTCTGTACTTTTGTTGCATCGATCGTTCATTCTTTTCCTTTCGTTAAATTTATGAAGTTTGTTAGAGATTTCATCCTTATTGACCCTAACAATGGATGCAATAAATGTACATGGTGCAACTTTTATAGATTTTAGTCGGCTGGATTACCGTGTGCAGCAAGCGAATTTAAAAAATGTTTGAATGCCGGTTTAATTATTTTCAGAAATAAAGGAAAGTTTTCTTTGAGTACAATTTTCTATCTTAATTATTTTTAAGGGGGGAAAATCATTGAATGACTGCTCCCGCCTGGGTGAGGCGGGAGGGAGTGTCAGACTCTTACTGACTAAAAACCACCCCGTTCCTTCTCCTGCACGTCGAGCCGGAGCCCCGGTTACCCGTTAGGTCTCCGCGACATCTTAAGTATTAAGAGTACTTTCCCTTCAGGTAGCATTACAAATTCCACCCTGTATACAGGAGTCATGTATTAGAAATCCCAGCAAAGATCAGCTGAGTGAAACTTCTTACATTTTAATAAGTCGGTACACGTAACAAATTAAACAGTTGCGTAAAATGCCGATTCTCAAAAACATATTCTAACTTGAAGGTACTAAGTAATAAATTATAATGCGTTGTCAAATGCTATGATAGTGTCTCTTCAGACAGAGCTCGACTCCCGAGCGGCCGCGTCCCTCTACCGATATTAATTTTGATTGGTTTATTCATTACGTCTTTATATTCCTATTACTAATTACTTTTTAATTATTATAATAGTTTAACTATAAGTGCAGTGAGGCGACTGTGTGCATAGTTTTTAGGTAACTTTTATATTGGTAAGTAACTTTTATGTTACATAATATATTTATTTATTACATACGCAATAATCTTCTTCTTACTTCTTCTATCACAAGTTCATTGACGTATATTATTATGATATTCTCCTTCTATTCTTTTCCCTTCTACCATCTCAAACTCCTTTTTCTTTCATATAATTCCTCACACCATCATCAGATTCATCTTTTTCTATAATATCTAGATTAAAAATGCATGCTTGATTATGATCATGGCTAGAAAATAATTGGGTAAAATTTATTCTAAATCAAGTTTAAATATTACCTCTATAATGTTAAAAATGTAAGGTGACAGCGGCCTGATAGTTTTCATCATACGTTGGTGTCATATGAATTTGTATAGGACTAGCTTTTGTCATCTGCTTCGCCCACGGTTTTGAGTCAAAAGTTACCCGTGTGTTAAATCCCAGAATTATATCTACCTACCTAATTTATTTTTGTCACAAATTTTATTCAGACCTATTTAGCCATTTTGCTATGATTAAATAAAGTCATTTTATTATAATAAGTTGAGTATGATAAATATGTTCACTCCATTGTTAATCGTATTTAGATTCTATGAGGAACGTGAATTATGATTCAATTAAATCTAACTGATGTTTTAATAAACACCTGACTAGTTTTAATTTGATTATTCTATTCGGCGGGTACAATAAATACTAATTTCATAGTTTTATGAGATTCAACGTACGACTGCACGGTTGTTGCGATGGCTGGGCAACCGACTGCGACGCAACGTGTAGCTGGTTCGATTCCCGCACAAATTATTGATTCAAGTCTGGGTGTCATGTATATGTGAAATTGTGTTTGTTACCCACGACACAGATAAAAAGCTTAGTGTCGGTCAACGCTTTTTTTTTATTTAATTTCAATTATTTTATGTTGAATGTTTAATGAACTCGTCTACAATATCACTGTAACTATTTTTTCTTGTTTAAAAGCTGGTATCAGTCAGTTATTGTTTTAAATAAAAGAAATGCATGTAACGGTTAAAAATGTTCAATTTTAAGGGAAGTAAAACTATGATTTCTTATGGACAGCTTAAATTAGTCCATGCCGACAACTATACAATCCCTTCAGTATTGTTCTTGCGTGGTATTTTCCAAAAAGGTTGCACGTTTCGCAAACAAAAGGTATATGGACTTTACTATGAAATTCGCACTCGTAACTCTTACATGATTTTCAACTTTATCACCCCGCAATAAGAGTGAACTTAAGTTATTTTTATGGCAGTACCTGAAATTAACAATAGATCATAACGATAGAATAATGTTTAGTGTTTCACTTTTGCTTTCTTTGCTTACAAATTGTAGTATTTTGTAGTGAAACAAATCATTTTTATTGAGGGCAGTTTGTTTTTATTTTCTTATTTATTTAGATCTAAATGCCGACGAAAAAAATATAAATGTTATTGTACACAGATTAAGTAATAGTGTTGTAGTAAATTAATAATTATAATACTTAGGGTAATTACTAATTAGTTAGTAATAAACACTAATGTAATTCGCCCCAACAGACGACATCCTATCAATTGTTTTTCAACTATTATGTTAAGGTAATAAGGTTGAATATATCCATTCAGTAATGTTATGGATATTCAAATTTGGGCTCAATGTGTAGCACAAAACATGTTTCTCTTGACATCGCCCGTAAACTGGCACTTAACTAAAATATAGCACTTAAACCAACCCCTTATCTGTACGGTTAGGTGTTACTTTTAGGTTGATGGAAGCAAATATTACGTTAAACGTCGTCTAACTTAAATTAGGGGTTTCTTTAAACTGAAGAGAGGTAGGTGGAAACAAGAATCATTGCCCTTTAAAGTTTATGACATACTTTTAGAAGAAGTGTTTATATGTTATATCAATATGTTTCAGTATCAACATGAGTATGAGTTACGGTGACGGCTCCGCGTGCTTGAGCGCCATCGGGTCCGGGCACGCGCTGCTGGAGCCGGTGTGCCCCGGCTACTCCACCAGGACCATGCGCCGCGCCTTCATCGTGTGGCTGCACACTGGCCAGCAGAACGACTTCCAACAAGTCTGCAACTACTACCACCGGCTTGAACTTCTTGTGAGTTCATATTTATACAATTGAGTGTGGTTCCTCGATTTCTACTTGAGACATTTATTTGTGTGATCCACAATCGTGTGCACTCGCCTGCAATTCCGAATTTAGGACTAAGTTTAAATAATAAATACGATTTATCGCCGATTTTTTCAAATGTTTACAAAAACTTTTTTAATTCATGCAACTTTAGGTAGCACGGAGTGTTCCTAATTCAGAATTCATTACCGAAATCACTTACTGTTCATGTTATTATCAATTGTTCAGACATTTTAATTCAATTAGTATTAAATAATACTTATAATTTTATATTAATATATATAGGTACTTTATAGGCAATAGGCTCACCCATATTACATGAGACTCATAAATAGTAAAAAGTGGGTGTTACGTTGTACAATGGCATTAAGTGACGTAATGTGCACCTCTGCCTACCCCTTCGGGGATAAAAGGCGTTATGTTATGTTAATTCTTACAAGATATCTTTATAATAATTTCCAGGAGAGTAAGATGACAGAGGAGCAGCGTTCAATAAGCAGGCTGCACGAGTACACCCTGGTGGTGGACACTCCACCGTCCACATTGTTCGTGAACAAGTACTTCCCGCTGCTGTACGCGCCGGGCAACGACGCCGAGCCGGACAATCTAAGGAGGCTGCTGCAGATGAGAGCAGACGACTGTGTCTTTAACTACGATGGCTTCAACGCCATGAGGATAGAAGGAAACACTACAGGGTATGACATCTTCAAAGCCAGCACCCTCGTCCGAAAGTACTGCAAAGATTACTCCAAACATCTTACAGCAGTGTATCCAGAATTCCAAGACTTTGTCAGAAAAACTGGAATAATAAATTCTGTCAGCAACCTCGTCATGTACATCAGGAACAAATATCTTAAAGATGAAATGGTTCTTGCTCGGGTGATGCCGAAGGATTATTCTTACTTGAATATTAAGGCTGGTCAGATGGCCACGGAGAAAATGAGTTTCAGAAGGTTGATCAGGGAGTGTAGGAAGCAGGAAATGTTACTCTTCAGCTCTGAATTTAACACTCCGAAGAAGTCTGCCGTCAACCCTGAGGATCTCCCCACGAGCGTGCGCTCCTTCATTTACGGTATATAACATGGAGTTTGGTAATCTCATTGTTCATGTAATTCATTAGTTAAGTTTGTAAAGTCCTATTTCGTTAGGCGAGGGTAATGGGATATTTTTATTTTGTAACACAATTTTATATCACTGCAGTACCTGATTGATTACTACTACCTACTTATTGTACTTATAAAAGATGATTATGAATATCTAATAATCAGGCACTAAAGTGGAATTAAATTGTTAAGCCATTTTGTTTGGGATAATCATTAGTTGTAAGAAAAGCATTCACATTTTTATAGCCTCTGTCATCAAAGTAGTACTTGTACACTATTTATAGTTCCCCTAATATATTTAAATAATTTATTTTCTAGTAAACAATAATGTCTATTACATATTTTACAAGTTCATTATGTATGTAATGTAGGTATGTATGTGTCAGTTACGTAGCACTTCTAATAATAAATCACAGATGGCGCTGATCAGTATTTTTACTGAGTACAATTCTGATTATAACATTTTTATGCTAAGTTTCTTTATATTTTTATGATTATTTTGACATTTGAAAGAACATACTGTATGATTGTGTATTTTGATAATTATTTTAAGAAACATATTTCTGTTATACGGACATTAAAATTGAATGTGACCAAAGAGTGTTTTCTTATCTAACTATACAGTAACAATATTTATTAATACCTACATCTAAAAATAGAACCTAAGAACTTATAAATATTTTTATACTAGCAACACAAAACTTGAACTATAAGGTTTTACACTGGCAATAAAGCAGCTGTCACACACGGAGGTGAACGTACGGACATTTGACATTTGTAGTAATTGTCACAGTCACAGTCGTCATTGTTCGCACACACGTTAGCGTGGAACCTGTTTCAAAATGGAGGACGCGATGTCAACGCCAATAAATACAATATCGAGGGAGAACCTCACAGTTTTAATAGCTAATAACATGTTGAATAATTCAGTAGAATTCAACTCCGATTGTGATTCGGTAAGTTTTGTTTTATATTATTTTATATTTGGTGTTCGATCTCCTGTCATTGTATTTTTGAAGTGTAACGAACTTCCCTGTCTATTGTTTTTAATAAAAAAGTGTGTCTATTTTTCTAGGTCATATTGATAAGTCTTATCGTTTTGTTTGTGTTTACAATGAGTAGATAGTTATTTGTTTTTAATTGAAACAATATTAATTTAATGGTTAGGGAAGAATGTTCGTGTTATTTTTTTCCATCCATGTCCATGCGTGTTGTTTTTTATTATTTTTTGTCCTTAACTACTACACTTTTATGAACTTTTCCAAGGTCTGTTAATTCTATATCTTTATCAATTTCATTAAAATCATTTGAATTGTAAAAGATATTATGGCATTTGTTAATATTATGTATGTAGGTAGAAGGCTTAAGTAATATGTTTTATATCCAAACACAAGTTTATGTCAAATATTTTAGGAACTTAAGTTCACGTGTCAGTATAAATGTCCGTATAGATATAGTCAGTCAGGTAGTTTCGACTGAATAGGCAGGCGGCCACTTTGTTTTGGGTCTTGAATGGAATGTTATTTGTGAAATCACCACTGCTTTCAAAGTATCGTACGTTTCAAGGTACCGTTTCCTTAGGACATTAGGCTCTTGTATGGTACAATTAAGATGGTCACTAAAGACGACATGCTTTTAACAAGAGACTTGTATTAAGGGATAGTTAGTTTTGTACAATTTTTAGGACGAGGATTATCTAACTATATTTAATATCAACTTTATGATTCGTTTTTTTGAGCGTAGCTGACAAGCCAATGTGATCCTTATTGTCATGTGACTAGAGTCCTAAATCGATATCCCAGTCGTAGTTGAATCGCAACTCCGAAGCTCGTGTATACTCGTTGATACTGTTATCATGTAATCAAATAGTGGACCTGCCACACACCACAACACGCGTGTGGCGTATATACTAAATACTACTGAATACTATTATTACTTTATATTTGTGGTCTATCGATATTCCTGTTATTGAAATTGTACTACCGTAATAATCAGTAGCCGCAAACCAAACCTGTGGTGTCCATTTGTGTGTATGTGTGTGTTCATGTAGCGTGCACTAGGTATATCAGTTAGCAATATATTATCTCGTGGAAGACAAAGCGAGTACATAAATAAGCGGCAGTGTATAAACTCTCAATGGACACAATCTCCCAACATCTATCACGATCTAAAAAACTACTAACAACATAAATTGTGACCGAAAAACTATCCTTTCCCAGATGGAGACAGATTCACCAATAAGAAAACCGAGCGCCCAACCAATCAGCAAAAAGCTATTCCATTCACCGATGGCTGAGAGCCCTAACGAACCCACATTCACTTGGAACGCGGACCGGACCAGAAAGGCGAAAAAGCGAAAACAAACACTCATACCCGATAACGCTGAGAGGATCAAAAGAGCGTATGTGAAGGAGTGCGACAAGGACGGCTACAGCCCCGACACACGCGGGGGAATGAGAAAGAAGGTTTTAATCAGCCTCTTCCACAACAAGGAGTATTCTATGGATTTTGGCAGTTGAATTTAAAATTAGAATTGTTTAACGTATATTGGCAATCTGGTGTATTGTTAGTGGGCGGCCATGTTAAATATTTGCGCGGTTTATTGGTAAACCGATATTTTGATAAGGGTCACAGTAATTAATGAAATACCCTGAAGCCACTGTGGGCAGTCCAGTGTTCATATTACGGTACATCGTTTAAGTTAGTGCGGTTTTATGATACCTCGTGTATCGAGACCTTATGTCTCATGAGCTTTAAGTAATATGAGACTGAATTAATATTAATTGCTCGATTAATTTTAGTAAATCATTGGTCTTCCAGTAATTTAAGGGAATACAATACATATCGTAGACAATAATTAATTGGTAACACTATGTTTTACTACCGTACAATTATTGTATCGTAAGTAGATAGTAAGTAGGTTAATGCATGTGAAATATGTAATGTGCCATCCAGATCAATTTACTGTATATAATAATGAATTTATTACTTCAATATAATGTTATTAAATGAGATACAATTCTTTATTTATCCCTCGACAGGTACCTACACTAAAAGTTACGCCAAGCTGATGTCTCAACCTACCCCTTTTAAAGAAATTATATGTTGACGTCATGTACCTATTCCGACAGCAAATTACACAGTCTACCAATAGAGATTCGGAGAATGTCCTTATTAAACATTCCATTGATTCCTGAACATCGTAATTAGAACCTGAATTATTCAATATACCTTAAAGAATAAGGATATTGAAGAGTTCCTTATAGTTATACTAGATAAAAACGTAAGCTACAGTTGATGACGTGTAAGTCAACGTAGGTCATGATTTTTTAGTGAGCAATTTCAGTTTAAATTCCAAAATGCTGACACCATTCTGATCCAAGAACTACTAGTAACATAACACACATACATTAACATAACATTACGCCTTTTATCCCCGAAGGGGTAGGCAGAGGTGCACATTATGCCACTGTACAATGTAACACCCACTTTTCACTATTTATGTTATGAGCCCCATGTAATAGGGGGTGAGCCTATTGCCATATACCGGGCACAATTCCAGACTCCGTGCTACTACTGAGATTTTTTTTTTTAAAACCCAGTAATACTTTGCCCGACCCGGGAATCGAACCCGAGACCCCTTGCCCGGCAGTCGCACTTGCGACCACTCGGCCAACGAGGCAGTTTAGTACTAGTATTAGGTCTCAAATCAAACTATGTGGTTGCTCAGCACTTGCTCTGAGGACTTAGTTTATTTTAAGTTAAAAGTGATTAAACGACACCGCGTTAGGCGCTCTGATTGGTTGGTTTATTGAAGCTGGCCAATCAGAGCCAAGTACGCTTGTACTCGTTACGATTGCTTTAAACGTAAGGTACACGTGTATACGGCCTCGGTTCACTATCTACTATCAATACACAAAGCCATACAGATCACTATCTATCTCCACAGCCACCAGTATCTCAGCCTGTCAGCATTTCTCCATACAGTCAGTGAGTGTGTCTGTCACTCCGGCGGAGTATCGCTTCATTTCCCTCGGGACCTCCTTTATAAGCACTCCTCTTTCACGGCAGCTTGTTATACTAATGTATAGCCAATCAATGGATCTGTCGTTCTAATACCACGGTGTTTGATGCTTAGTAGGGTAGGTGGTCGATTAAAATGTGCGATTTTAACTCAAATCGAGTTTGGTTTTTCATGCAATGCAATTACCTTGTCAAAAATCGATCGATTCCAGTCATGTTGATTGATTGATTGAAATTGGCCGTAGGGACATAGAAAGTGTCTTTCAAAGACAGTAGTAAGATGTAGAATATGATGCATAGTAACTGGTTAACATTCCTATTACTTAGGAAGTTATTAGAACTGCCTCGTTGGCCAAGTGGTCACAAGTACGACTGCCGGGCAAAGGGTCGGGCAAAGTATTATTGAGTTTAAAAAAAATCTCAGTAGTAGCACTGAGTCTGGAATTGTGCCCGGCGGCATATGGCAATAGGCCCATCCCCTATTACATGGGACTAATAACATAAATAGTGAAAAGTAGATGTTACTTCTGTGTGCACCTCTGCCTACCCCTTCGGGGATAAACGGCGTGATGTTATATTTATTAGGACTTAATAAAATAATAAGTAGAAAAATGTGAATTTACCCATTTTGGGACCTCTGCCTACTCTTTTGTAAAGGGTATGGTGAATTGTTGGGTATGGAGAAGTGAAGCTACCTAGATTCTGTCTGAATCTAGGTAGCTAGCTGGTAATACGAGCTCCAAGTAAACCAAATAATATTTGCTAGATAAGGAAATCAGAGCCTGGATTTCCAGTTCGGACAAAAGTGTTATTCAGTTTCAAAATCCCGAGAGTCTCGGTAGTGCAATGTGGTCAGCAAATCTATTTCGGAACACAGTCAGGAATAGACTTCTCGGAATCAATACTGCCTATATGAAAACAGGATTACTGCAGTTTCAGTCTACCTAACTTGAT